CATTCATTGTAAAATAAAGTAGACATTTCTTGCGGATCAATTAGTAGAGACATAGGCATAAAAATCATTTTGATGGGGTTACATAGCCAACCCTTGAGTATCAGAATCCCATGTATAGATTTTATCCGCTAATAATGATGAAATACTCGTGTTAAACACACATACACATAGACCTACGCTTGGATAGACGGATTCCGGATATAACATGATAATAACAAGACCGGATGTCCGCCAATAGCATTATGAAGTCAACAAAACAACCACAGAGTGACGAAAGAGATAAATTCGGTGGCGCACCAAAAATAGGATAATAGACATTTCTAGGCGTCATTTTCCTCGCCATCTGAGCCTCCCTCATCGTCTACCTGGAAGAAGTAGGAACGTTTTGTATAACAACAACTCGCCATCCTTTACCTCTTCTAGGCCTTCCTCGTCATCAATAAGTTCTTCAAAATCATCGCCCGTTTCTTCCATTTCTGGCAGGAGGTAGTATTGCAAGGGATTTGGCCACATATCATCTTTGATGACCTGGAAACACTTTTGAAAAACTGTTATGAAAAAAGCAAAAACGGAATTCTACCTCAGCAATGTCATCGTGCGCTGGATCGACATTTTCCGAAAGCCATTCAAAGAAGGAAAGCGGCGATGAAGAATCTCCCTTCTTGAAAAGTATCTCTTAAAATAACGGAAAGCAAGTACAGACAGGATAAGAGCCTACTTTGCCCAAATTCTTGCCCTCTTTCCATCGTATCGTGGTTCCGGTGGTTGAGGGTGTATCTCCGAGGTTGTACTCTTTTTCTATTTTTTCGTTCTCGAAGAACTCATTTGGCGAGAAATAAAAACGCAGGCGAAATCCGCTTTTGATGTCATCAAACTCATCGACCTAAACAAAGATAGTATAAGGCTGGAAACATATATTCTTACAATTAATACGAATGTGATTAGAAGCAAATTTGCAAGTCAACCGAAGAATTCATACCTCAATATTAGTGAGATGAGCCAGAGCTTGTTCTTCACTTTCGTCAATAATTGAAGACAATTGTGGGTGATTGAGAAACTGGAAAAAACACATGCATTAGTTCAGTGCCTATATGAAAAAATGAAT